TTAACAAGAAAAGTCTACAATAAAACCAGTTCACCATGCAAAATCAGCATTTTATTAATAGCTCAAAAAAACTGCTGCCATGTAAATCCATATTTTCAGTTTTCAAATTTTAAACTAAATATGATCTCATTCAGGAGGTGGGGAATACGAACTCAGTGCTGGAGATCAAATGAAAATTTCAATTAGCTTTCTAGGAAGGTGCACTAAGTAATAAGCTACAAGTTGTTATCCAGGTGAATGGACTCTCACCTGTGAACAGACTTTGTGTTCATTCTTACCACTGAAGGATACATATTTTATAGTTATCATTGGATCAGAACATGCATTTTATTCTTAGCCAACCAGCCAAGTGTTATTTGTGGACAAACTTCCCTTAAGTCTTCCCATAGATTTTTAAGGGTCTCTTGCAAAATCAAAGGACAGAAACCAGTGCTCCTGACACTGTGTATGCTAGGACAGCCAGTGCCCTGGTGCTCAGCACACCAGTTCCACAGAGACTCAAGGGAGTACCAGTACCTGCAATAGGGTTTTGAACCCAGGGACTTCCACTGGTGGAGAAATACTGAGGTTTCAATTACAAAAAAGAGACATAAACAGCACCACTTCTGTTTACTGTTTTGGGTGAGATCTTGTTAGGACAGCATGTTAAGCTTTTGGTTTTTGTGTCCTCCCTGTTTCTTTGGGAAACAGTATGAACACAGATATTGCAACAGCATGAGACTATAATATATATGTACCTTGGAGTACATGTAGTGTAAGTTCAGTCTCATGATACAGACTTTGTATGAGAATTACAAGCTTAAGTCTAAAGAGCACTGCTTTGTCTATCAGTAACAGCAATATATTACTGGAAATACTGAGAAATACATGCTTCTGGAACTATAAAGCATAAAAACTAAGCAATTCCTAAGCTTTAGGATCTCCCAGAATCAGGCTATAACTAAAAGTAGATTTTAAAGAGTTTATCAGTATATTTTTTTTTGCATCCAGGTGTTCTGTACATCCTTCTAAATAGCCTATACCTTTAAATTAAAAAATCTTGGCATGTAATTGGAAATAGTTCATGTTGTTCTTTTCAAGTTATAATTTACTAAACATTAGAAAGGCTCCCTGGGTCTCTTACTGGTAGACATTCCATCTTCAATTTTGTACTAAACAGAGCAGTCTCACTGAAGCATTCTAATTGAAGCATTAACTGCTAGGAATTATACATGTGGTCACTGCATTTGAAAAATCTGCTGCCGAGGTAACCCTTGTCTGAACACAAGAAAACATCAATAAAATTGCCAGAAACTGAGCTGAAGCTCGGCCACTTTCCCACACACACACACGGGAGGAACATTTAGATCTGATTGCTTTCCAAAGCAATGCTGGAGAGCAAGGCTTGGCCACAACTTGCTAGAGTGACAAGCTTCAGTTTTCTAGTGCAGACACTCCACATCACCACAGCAATCTGTTTAAAATCCATGTTTGAAGCCCAATTCCTAATGCCAGGAAACCCGATTACAGACTAAAAAGTCTCAGTTGGCATTTAGCACATGTTAGCAGCCAAGACAGGACTTGACATGGCATGATCATAAATATAATCATGCAAAGTATAGAACTGTAATATTTACCTTTGTAAAGTTAGAAAAGCAAAAAAGAAATCTAATTATAAAAAGCTTCAGTCATATTATTGTCATTCATTTGAAAAAAGCCTCATATGTTTGAAGCTGGTAAGAAAAGGACAACAGGAAGACCAGCAGCTGTTACTAGACAGGAACTGAAACTGACCAGTTGTATTCTAACCTATGTTTGACTAAGCATTTGCTAAGAAATTGACGCTGTTAAAGAGTCATGAATTGCTAGCACACTTAACTGATTTCCTACTTATTGAAAACTATGGAAAAGCTTACAATTTTAGCTAGAAATTAAAACCAATTTCTGTTCCTTATCTCACTGGAATAAGATGTCAACTTAAAAATACATTAAAATATTTGTATCTATTACAGTTTGGTTCAAGAACCAGAGAAAAAATATCTCATATGATTAATACAACAAAGGCCCTGAAACCAATTTCAAGTGCTTAAATAAGTCTAGCAACCACCTAGTACAATTTCCCTTATCCAAGTACTATAAAAATGATTCTGGTGATGCTTCAGGATTCAGGATATTGGGAAACAAGAAAAAAACCTAAAAAAAACACCTTCTCCCCTACCCCCTCCCTTCCTCCTGGGCTCAGCATCACTCCCAATTTCTCTATCTCCTGCCCCCAGGCAGTGCAGGGGAGCAAGCGTCACAGGAGCTGATGACATGGTGTCTCTACTGTACCTTCTTCCTCAGGGGGAGAACTCCTCACACTCTTCCCCTGCTGCACAGTGGGGTCCCCCCCATGGGAGACAGGTCTGCACAAGCTGTTTTATGAAGACTAATTCCTTCAAAGGCATTGTGAAATAAGCACTCATTTACAGTACCCACCTTGACTAGTCAAACCACATACAGCCAGGAGACATTTAGATGCATAGTTCAAGTGCTACTTCTCAAAATTAATAAACTACATTAATTTCTTCTGAGTCATGCAAGTATGTGTATATGGGTCCTAACTATAAACTTCTTTCTGCATAAAATTATGTCTTATATAAAAAAATCAGGCTTCTGATCAAATGGACAAAGGTTGAGGTTTCATTTGGACAGTTAAGGAGGCAGTGAAAGAAGACTGAGAGATGGTACGTGGAAGAAAAGTTGAGAGAAAAGTGTCTAAACATCAAAACTATTCTCTGGAACTCATTAACTTCTGTTTCACTAGGCTGAATAACTGAGTCCAAAGAGACTAGCCTGTAAAGAGGGCACACTAAAATCTCTAAGATATACAAAATGTTAGAAGCATTGTCCTTAAAAATGTTGGGCTTTTTTTTCCTCTAAGACTAAATCAATTTTTATGGTGATAGTTTTATTAAATAAGGTTTTTTATCTCACTGCTCTGTATGATCAATTTCAATTAAATTTATCCAAACAATTCATAGCTGCCTATAATTTCCTGTCATGTACAATATAAAGTATTTTTATTTGGTTTTTAATTTTTAATGCAATAAAATGAAGACAAATATATATGGCTTATAGAGACACACTGTACACTTAAAATTTTAGGATCAATTCTGAAGTTTTCATTAAAATATTTTTATTGTCTAATCATTTAACAGTTATATGACCACAATGATAGGTTTAGGAAAAAGAGTGGAATATTATTATCTAATTTTAGTTGAGAATAAAAACTATACTGAAGCATTTTTTCAGATGTTTGTAAAGCAGAAACCTAATACAACACATTTAAGAGGTTTATAAGTATTTTGCCAAACATACTGTAAATGTCTTAATGGTAGCACATATAACACGATTTTTTATTCACATGAAACAGCCCCCAAGTCTGAAAAGATGACAAGAAATTCCCACACATACTGTGGGGTTCTGGGTGCAATACTCAATTAGGTGCTAATTAAAGGGATTCTCTCCGTGTACTGAAGCGACAGGATCATCACTCCAAAAGGATCCACCTCCCGCAAGGTGCAGCAGCAGCTGGACTTACATATTCACCGTAGGTCTCCTGAGCAGGAGGTGGTGGAAGGGGCCTGTAGCCTGCAGGTGGTGGCACTCCTCTTGATCTGGGTGCTAGAAGTCCACGACTACGACTGACTGGTCCTCTGCTGGGAGGCACTCCTCTGGGTGCTGGTGCCCCTCTGGGAACTCCTGCTGGTGGTGGAGGAACTCCTCCACGGCCCCTGCAGATACACGGATCACTTACCATTAGAGACTACATCCTCAGCCTCCCCTCTTCAACAGCCCCCTCTCCCCTGCATCATGACAATTTTGCTTTGCTACAGCCAGAAGAAGCCTAAAAGAGGTTTATTGTTGGCAATTTTTCTGAACGCTTCCATCCAGCTACGCACATTATGCGGTAAATGCAGAATGATACAAACTAGGCACGTGATTCAGTGATGAGCTTCTCACTAGGTGAGCCACTCTCCCATGCAGACACCCAAACCAATTTGCTGGAATCACTCAACTCCACTAGAAACTGACTTATGTAGTATGTGAAATCACAGCCATAGAGTAACAGGTTAATTTGAAGCTGTCAGGCTATATCATACTCAAACCCTGCACAGAGGAATCAGTTGCAAAAATCTTGTGTAGGCTTCTAAGTGCAACCCAGAGATCACACTGCCTGGAAGAGATGGAGTGGGTCAGAGAGAGGACTAAAGAAAGTGCTAAAGAAGAGATTTCCAGCTGTTGCAGGAAACATGCAAACATGTAATAAATGTGCAGGGTGATTATAGGATATAACCTGATGTTCTATATGTATTTAACAACAAGAACTAACAGTATAATATTTATAGTTCTGAAAGAATTATAAAGCAGTATCTTGAATTTCATTACTTTCCACACAACATACAGATGAAAAATCTGAGACCTAAATCAGAACAAATTTAAAAAAATATTTGATGTATTTAGAGGTGGTGTTCCCTCCTGCCTCCCTATAGTAAAGGGAGACAGAAGTACAACCTGTGAGAAATTTGCATCATTTATCCTCTTTTAGACAAGATGACTGACAAATTGCTAAGTGAGATCTCCTTTTTAAAGGAGGTTATTTCACCCCATGGACTATAATTATGTTTAAATTATTGCTCTGAAGGCATATAGACTTGTTCCAAAGAAGTCACACCCTTATTGTATACTTTAACAGATACACAGAAGAACACAAGCACCAGCTCTTTCTACCTACCAAGCCATAATTTAATTCATGTCTAGAATGATAACTGATTGAAAATACTCTGTCCTGATGTCAGTAAAAAAATTTCAACTTAACACTATAAAGTAAAATCCAGATTTGGCCTTGAGATTTCCTATTTCATATAAGTCATATAGTTTCTTATTGGTAAGCTTATCAGAAAAAAAAAAAAATAAACATTTTAGCACAATTACTTAGTATTTTACAAGCTTCATCACTAAATGAAGAATGCAAAGGAGTAAATACTTGACACAATCAGGATGTATTTAGTTAATTCTAATTACTGTTCAAAACACAGTCACAAAGTATTTTAAACAAGCCTAGAGAGTAAGTGATTTAAAACTGTGCTTATTACTTGGTTTTGGCTAATCTGTAGAATGCCTCCTCAGGACAGGGTACCAGCTGCTTATTTGACTTCATTGTAGTGGGGGCAGGGGTGAGCAGTGAAGTTCCCAGACACAGCCTGCTGAAGTAATATAAAGAAATAGCAAATGTGACACTTTCCATGTGAAGCCAAAGAAAGGGAAATGAACCTATCGGCATAGACAATTGTCATACCAAGTTAAAAAAAAAAAAAAAAAAGGCAGTAAAAAGAGTAAAGAATCACTAGCCATATCTTCAAGGCATCCTTCAGACAGGGTGCAAGTGAAAGCAGCAGGAAGTGGGACATGCTGAAAAACATGGAAAAACATGAGGGAGGGAAAAAAGTACATGTTTTAGAGGCAGCATAGATTTATTCTTGAAGAGTAATTCAAACACCAGATCCACATGATAAAGTCTTCTCTGCATTTCCAAAACAGTTAATGGGATTTGAGAGGTGATGGGTGGGAAATATTTTTTTTCTATTTTACATGACTATTTACATGGGGGTTTTTAAGTTACTGTAGGAAGAATAAACCATCTGAGATGTAGAGTTCTGTATTACACCACACAGATGGTTACTGTACCAGGCTAGAGGAGACTAGGTGCAGCAATAGGAAAAGCAGTAACAGGAGATTTCAATATTCACCATGCAAATTTGAGTCATATCAGGATATGATGTTAAGAGCAATTTTTTAGAAACTTTAAAATTTTATTTCATTAAGAAGTCATCAGGGAACTAAACAAGTTTGACTGACATGAGCAATGAACAGAAAATGGAAATACTGAGGAACCACTTTGAACAGGAGCCTTTGCATAAACAGATCAGTTCTGGTGTTGCTTAATTTGAAAAATGGCAGCTAAGTTATGTTTAAAAATATTTTTTAGAGATAAAATGCACATAGACAACATGGGGAGACATTTAGATAAATCCTGTGGAAAGTCAAAGGAAATACACACAAAAAAAGCTGAGAAAGAGCAAAAGGAGCTCAGTAAGACTGGAACAGCAGAGTAAGGAGAGGAATTAAACGGTCTTCAGCTTTTCAAGTGATGCCATCTCTAATGTCAAAGTACAAATGCTAATAAAACAAATGCAAAATACTCAGAAAAGCAGGTCAGATAATTTAAAGAATTTGTAAAAAGCCTTAAAAAGACATCTTTCAAACACCCTGAAATTAGGAAACCTGACAGAGTCTGAGGCTAAATCACCAGTGAAAAGCACTAAGATGATATGTATTTATACACTGGTTTTTACTCTGCAATCAAGACAGATTGGACAAGGTTCTTATGCTAGAGTCTTTCCTTAAGAGGAATGCAGGGATGGTACTGCCAGCTGACTTAGAGACAAATTACAGAACAAAAAGAGCAATTAAAAGTGATTAATTATCTTTCTATAAGCTCCAACAGAAGTTCAGATGTCTATCTCTAATCTTTACCTGAAACCCAACATGAATGTAGCAAAATGGAGCCTACAGGAAAGCTGGGGAGGAGCTTTTCATCAGAGAAGATAGTGATAGGACAAGGGGGAATGGTTTTAAAGTGAGAGAGGGAAGATTTAGGTTAGATAGTAGGAAGAAATTCTTCCCTATAAGGGTGGTGAGGAACTGGAATGGCTTGCCCAGGGATGTTGTTGATGCCCCATCCCTGGAGGTTTTTAAGGCCAGGTTGGACCAGGTTTTGTGCAACCTGATCTAGTGGTAGAGTTCCCTGCTCATGGCAGGGGGTTTGGAACTTGATGATCTTTAACGTCCCTTCCAACCTTAATGATTCTATGGCTCTATAAAATAAATAGAAAAAAAATAATCAAAGCAAACTAGGAGAAAACACTTGGGACTTATACACACACATCAATTTATATATCCTAACTTTATACAAAACAATAGGTTCTGAGCTATCTTTTCCCACAGAATGATTATAATTAAGATTGGCCCAGTAGTCAGGATGGTAAAAAACAAATGTTTTAGAAAATGTAACAGAACACAGAAAACTTTGTTACCCTGTTGTATTTACAGTCTTGTATGTTAATTTGGAAAGAACATAAAAGAACAGGAAGGGCATCAGAAACTATGTCAGAGATGACCAACAATAAAGAACAGCTTACATATATGGAAAAATTAAGTGGATTAAGGCACTTCATAATACAAGTGACAACTGAGGCTTGTAGGATAGAATCCAATGAAAGCATCAAGGGAATGGAAAAGATACATAAAGAATTATTTATCAGTTATTCTCAATTTAAGAATCAGTGGACATCAACTGGGAGAGATGGAAAATATTAAACCCGACTGCTTTAACATCTGAGCCACTACAACTGCTCCTATGAAATGCAATCACTGAAGGACACTTCAGGAAATCCTTGCTTCTAGCCATGTGCTATTATTGCCATCTCCAGATGCCTTAGCCATAAAGGCATGCAGTGGTAGGATTTAGGGATCAGTGCTTTAAGCTGAAGGAAGGTACACTTAGATTAGTCATTAGGAAGAAGTTCTTTCCTGTGAGGGTGGTGAGACATTGGCCCAGGTCGCCCAGAGGAATTGTGGCTGCCCCCCCCCTGGAAGTGTTCAAGGGCAGGTTGGATGGGGCTTGGAGCAACCTGGTCTAGTGGGACATCATACTGTCCATGTAGGGGGGTCAGAACTAGATGATATTTGAGGCCCCAAACACAAACCATTCTATGGTTGTATGAAAGTGATCATCGATGTACTTAAGATCGAGATCTACTCTCAATGTCCTAAACCAATAAGAAAATTTGAAATGCTTGTTTCATCTTTATCACTTTGTGATTTTCCTGAATGTGTTCATCTGGCAGTGGCAAATGCAGAGAAGGAAGTCAACACTCCCTCATTAAATGGACAGGTAATTTAAGTGGTTAAATTTGGAGTAATTTTATTCCCAAAGCTGGGTAATTAAGTTGTAGGCTCAGCACTGAAAAACAGTGTCTTTTTCAATCTGGGTACCATGGACTACATTAAGTAAAGGAAATCTCAGTAAGTCATTTAATATATTTTGTTTCAGTACACTGAACAGTTCACCAGAAAAATGGAGGTGAAATAATCTAACTCATATTTCACAGTATAACTTGAGGACAATGTCATGAAAACTATCTTTGTTGTAACCCGACTTTCCCCCATAATATTATTTCATTACTTGCAACTCAGTGTATGAGGAAAAAAATAAAGTGAAACAAATTTTATGAAGTTATCAGATCCACTAGAGAATGGGAAAACAAGTCTTTCACATAAGTGGTAGAATGTGCCAGTGTGATTTGTAAATACAGAGTAGTAATTACAGAAGGCAATTTTAATGTATGCAAATCTGATGAGTGTTATCTTACCATGTACAGTTAAAATATTACTTAAGCACTGCATTTTGTAGTTGATTAACCTCTTGTTGTTTGAATAAGGAGTATGATGTGTAAAAAAACATTCTAAAGAAAATCTAATAACATTTAGAACCACATTATACCATTCTAGAACATTTGTGAATGTTTAGAATTAAATAACAGGCATAATCTAATCAGTGACTGCCACTAAAATAGTGTTTTACCAATTCATACAACTTAAATACATCCATAGAAAACTACTTAAATACTACTCTTGGGCCTTTATTAGCAAGATTTTTTGATATTTCTAC